GTCGAACTCCCCTGGTTTGTTCTTGCCTGATGGCTTCATTCCTGCTGACAATGCTGGCAGGTCCTGACCATGGATCGTCATCTGAGCTGGGCTCCCTGAAGGGGGACCCTGAATTGATGTGGAGCCTATACCAGCCTGGGGAGGCTGATCCCATTCACTCAGCCTCTTCTCTTCTTCTCTGTGCCCTCCTCTGTCAGTCGTATTCTGTGGCTTCATACCGCTCTTGGGCCTCTTCTCATATGTAATCAGTGAGCTCTTCCTGAGTTCGCCTGATTTCTTCTTGTCAGGCCTGGTTCTGCTGCTGCTGCTGTACTACATTGTTGTAGTTAAAAGGGACCATGAGGTCCCAGTCCAGGAATATCCGCTGGATAATTCGGTCCCTGGCTGCCCTTCCCCTTGCGCTTGTGGTTCCGACCTTGGGTTCACTGCCCACATGGAGATGTCAGTAGGAGTCTCCTGCTGCTGAGATAGCAATCTCAATGTTGGCATAGTTGGAGTGTATGGTTCTTCCATGTGGATTTTCGATCCCCAGCCTACTGACAGATGGACTGGGGCTGGAGTCGGGCTCAGTGGGGGTCTCGGGGGGGTTCTGAGGGGAGTCGGGACTTTTGTGGAGTCTCAGAGCCATCCTAATGGCATCAAGGGAGTCCCAAGCATGGTTTCCAATCCCTGAGGGGATTGGGGATCGGAGATGCTCAGAGAGTGAGACTGCTGGAGCGATGTCATTGGAGACCTCCTTGGGCTCTTGGGCGATATTCATTGTCCATGGGTTCTGAAACTCTGTGAGAGCAGGGTGATGGTCTCTGTTGTTTCATTGGAGGGGGTATTGAGGTCTTTCTTCCTCGTGAATGCTCCCCGAATACGAGTCATTATTCCTGGTTTCTGATATGGGCCGCCCTTGCAGCTGGAAGGATGTTCTGATGGAGGCGGGAATGTCATGGAAGGGAAGGTCGGGGGTCATGTTTCATAGGACTTGTTGTATCTGCTGAAACACCTGATAGTGCCTGACTATCCAAGCTGTTACTGATTGTCATCTGCAGCAGAGGATGATGATGGTGAGAAGTCTGAGTAACATTCTAATGATGGAAGCGATAAGCTCGAAGAAGTCATGGTTTAGATCAGCAGTGGTTACTGGGGGCATTCAGTTTCTCAGCACAATTGGGCTTGAGAAAGGGAAGGAGAGAGCTTCAAGCTAATTGTTAGGCCCAAGTGTCATGTGAACAGATACACGTGATAAACAGGTGTTCCTTTGCACTTTGAGGAATCACCTGAGTTCACTAAATGTATATCCGCTGACACGCCCTCTCCTCGTTCAGGCATGTAAAATTGTGAAAATTGCGAATACATGGGCCGCATTCCAGGCCAGTAAGCATGTAACAGAAAATAGGACTAGAGCACACAGAAACCTCGCTATCATAATGATAAACTGGAGTAACAATAAGCAGAGTGCATGGCCTAGTAACAGACTAATACCAGAGGGGTTAGGCTGCATGTGAGGTCCCAGCACTTGGCCCTAAATGCACTAATACTATTACAAGAGGACATGCTAAAAATAAAAAGACTATGATCGAAATATGATCGGCAATTCTGATCACATTGATCAAAGATGCACAGCCATTGATGTGCTGATGGGATATGCCTTTAGAACAGAGAACTGAGACCCAAAGAAAGGTATCTGAGTAAATGGGTACCGAACGGAGAGATAGCATGATGACAACAAGCTAACAAGTAGAGGAATATTACCCCAGGAATGAATAGCACGGATACTGCCCTGAACCTTAGTGCGCATAACACAGCGAGGGACTCCGCATCGTACCGAGAAG